CGAGGGCGCTCGGACAGGGGAAGGGCATGACTAATCGCAAGCTGTGCAACATCGCCACGCGACAACCAGACAACACGGGCAAGGGCAGCAGCTGCAGCGGACTCACGGTCAGCAGAGGTGAGGTCAGCAGGGAGGGCAGCAGGGGGGTCTGGGCAGGGGAGCATACCGTCGATGTGGACGGCCAGGGAGTGGCCGTCCTGCCGCAGACGAGTCAGGTGTCGCTGGAGGTCGACGAACCACGAGTCGAACTCAATCGGCTGCCCCTCAGCATCAAAACGCAAGACCGAGCCCGCCATCATAGTTGCAGCAGCAGGAGAAAGACAGTACTGGTCAGGAGAGCGTGGCGGAAAGCGGTGATGTGCGGTGCAGTGCGGTACTGTGCGGTGGAGGAAGGTGCAGTACGGTAGGGTGTAGTGCAGTGCGGTGCAGTGCAGTGCAGGGCGGTGCAGTACGGTGCAGTGCGGTACAGAGAAGTGTAGTGCGGTGCCATGCGGTGCAGTGCGGTGCAGAGCGGCCGAGGGCGGCGGCGAGGCGACTAGAAGACGGGTCCGCGGGCAGCAAGGCGACGAGGCCGCGGAGCCGCTCTGGGACGGGGCCGCTAGGGGCTGGGGCCGCGGGGCCGCTAGGGGACGGGGCCGCGGGGCCGCTTGGGGACGGGGCCGCGGGGCCGCTAGGGGATGGGGCCGCTAGGTGACGGGGCCGCGGGACCGCTAGGGGACGGGGCCGTGGGGCCGCTAGGGGACGGGGCCACGGGGCCGCTAGGGGACGGGGCCGCGGGGCCGCTAGGGGACGGGGCCGCGTGGCCGCTAGGTGACGGGGCCGCTAGGTGATGGGGCCGCGAGGCCGCTAGGGGACAGGGCCGCGGGGCGACGAGGTGGCTAGGACCTAGGGCGGAAGCGCTAGGGGGGGGGGGGGGGGGACCTACCTACTCATGATACCATTTTCAAGTGAAAGAAATGTCTAGAACAAGGCATACAAGAGAATATAACCTAATGGGTTGTACTCCCTAAGGCACAACCCTATATAGTCTACACAAATGTACAAAATATGTTTGACACCCATGCAGAGTACCCTGATGCCGAAGGGTAAGGGTGGGGGGCTCAGGGTCTCAGATATCAGACGAAATCGGTCTGATGGTCTGAAAATCAGACCTGTTTTTTCTCATTCATCTGATTTTTTTACGGGCTAAATTAATTCATGTGATCGTCCAGATAAGTCATAAGATTTCGTATGAAAGTACATACTAGGTGTAGACTTTCGTCTGAGAATTCAGATAGCGCGGATTTTTTCGTCTGATACATTCCTCGTCTCCCCAACGCCCCCCCACCCCCCCCCCCCCCCCCTCCCCTTCCCCCCCCCCTCTGTTCCGCACAACCAATAGTTTTTTCGGCCAAGTCATCATATGCCAGATACATTCCTCCCACACCCCTACACAACCTCCTGTTTTGTTTCTTTGCTAGTTTTTCCGGCATAGTCCTCCAGACAAGAGATATTCCTCCACATACCTCTCGCAACAATAAAAATTCGGCGAAGTCCCTCACACCTGAGACATTGCTCTAACACCACGCACAACCCCGAAAATTCGGCTAAGACCCTTTTTGCGAGATACATTCCCCCACACACCCCTCAAGCCATGTTTTTCCGATGAAGTCCCTCACAGCTAGATCGTGTTTTTGGCTCAAGACCCTCCCACACCCTCCCCCCCGTATACCTGCAATGGCGGTGCGTGTGAGGGTTGCTTGTGCGTGACACGTCACGTTACGTGCGAGTCTCTCATCGCCAAATAGAGCAAGGCCCTGGTGGTACTGTAGGTAGATACAGTGCGCACACCCTGGTCTTTCTCCCTAGGCTCGCGCGCTACAGTACTGTAAAGTTTCTACGCAAAACGGTTCAATGCGGTTCCGCGTGGTCTGACACAAAGTTGTGACTGTCAACGTTCAGGCCCTGTTTTCAAAATTCTTCTTAGGCACGCCTTTTTTAGACAGGCGCGTGTTAAATTATATATGTTAGTATATAATTGTAGGCTTGGTAGACGTTACTGAACATTTCTGTAGAGGGTACAACACCCCTCCTTGTATCCCTCTTTCTTTTCTAAGACTCTTTTCTCTCGTCAAACTCTCTCTCCTAGTTCTCCTAGCTCCTAAAACCTCACGCCACTTTCATGGCGTCCTAGTTCCTAGTTTTGATATGGTATCAGAGCACGACGCCTTTCCCGGGCCTGCTCTCCACGCTTCCGCCGCGTACTCGTCCTTACTTGGTCACCGTCGCGGCCTTCTGTTTGCCTGCTGCCGTGGGACATTTTCCGATATGCCGCGGCGGCCTCTGTGTGCTGTCGTCTCAGCGTCGACGAGCAGCCGCAACTCCGACGCCACGCTGTGGTGGCGTCGTAGTGGTGACGTGGCGGTGTTGTCGGCCTGTTGGCGTTGCGCACCACCTGCGTCGCTGCTGGACTTGCAGCCCGCCCGCACGCCAGTAAGCGCCGCGCCAGCAATGGCGCTGCGCTGAAGATCCGAAGCCCTGCCCCTTCCCCCTTCCCTCTGTCTCCTCTTCGCCACACCCGCCGCCTGACTCTTGCCGGCCGTCCCCCTGTCGCGGAGTTTGGACACGCCGCTGAAAGGGAGGGGGCCGCTGCCGTTACCGGAGTCGTAAGCCAAAGCCGTCGCTGTCGCCGCTGTCGTCGCCGCAGGTCTGTTGCCGCACGCTGCCACCGTCGCCATCGCTGTCGCCACTGCCGGGACTGCCGCCGTCGCCATCTCCAGGGCCTTGGGGTTGGCCCTGCTTGAGTAGTCGTGGCTGCTGGGAATGGGGGTGCTAGGTTAGGGGGTATGGGGTGTGTGGGTCCTTATGCTACCAAGCCTAGGGGGTGTGTTAAATTATATATGTTAGTATATAATTGTAGGCTTGGTAGACGTTACTGAACATTTATGTAGAAGGTACAACTGTTCAAATTATATAAGTTATAATTTAATATAGGCTTGGTAGGTTATTACTGAACCTTTCTGTAGGGGGTACAAACCCCTCCTTGTACTCCTCTCTCTTCCTAATCCAACTCTCTTCTCTCTCGACACTCTCGTCCAGCTCCTAGCTAAACCCCGCCGCCACATTCATGGCGGCCTTGTTCCTGCCTAGTATCCTAGCCTAGAGCTACTTTAACATGGTAACAGAGCAGGCCGTTTCCGGTCCTGCCTTCCACGCTTCCGCCTCGTCCTTGTCTTACGTTTCACTTCGTACCGTGCCGCTGATGGCGGCCCTTCGTTTTCCTGCCGCCGTGGCGGCCTTGCCTTTCCGTGCCGCCGTGGCGACTTCTCTGAGATGCCGCGGCGGCTTAGTCGAGCTACAGTCGCACCTCCGCCTCGCCACCGCGGCATCGACGTCGCGCTGTGGCGGCGTCTTTTGGCTGCCGTGGCGGCGTCTTTTGGCTGCCGTGGCGGCGTCATCGGGCGACAGCTGGCCGCGCATCCGTCGTTTGGCTGCCGTGGCGGCGTCATCGGGCGACAGTCGGCCGCGCATCGTCAATGGTGCCGCCGGACCTGCCGCCCGCTCTGCAGCCGCCGGCGTGATTCTGGACTACGCCCCGCGCCCCTCTCCCCCCCCCCCCCCCCTCCCCCCTCCTTCCCCTGCTTCCCCCCCCTTCCTTGCTGCAGCCAACGACTGCCTCATGCGGGCCCTCCCCACTGCCGAGGTGACTGGACATGCCGCCGAGAGGGCGGGGGCCGCTGCACCAGCCGCTGACGTCCAAGCCGCCGCTGCCGTTGCTGTTGCCGCGGGCCGGGCGCCGCCGCACGCCGCCACCGGCGCCGCTGTCGTCAATGTCGCTGCTGCCGCCATAGCCATCCCACGGGCCGTGGGAGCTGCCCGCTTCTGGAGCCGTTGTGTCTCCTCCTGGGAATGGGGGTGCTGGGCTAGGGGGTGTGGGTGTGGGTGTGGGTGTGGGGGTGTGAGTGGGCTTGACACTACCAAGCCTAGGGGGTGTGTTCAAATTATATAAGTTATAATTTAATATAGGCTTGGTAGGTTGTTACTGAACCTTTCTGTAGGGGGTACAAACCCCTCCTTGTACTCCTCTCTCTTCCTAATCCAACTCTCTTCTCTCTCGACACTCTCGTCCAGCTCCTAGCTAAACCCCGCCGCCACATTCATGGCGGCCTTGTTCCTGCCTAGTATCCTAGCCTAGAGCTACTTTAACAACAACACCCCTCGTATCCCTCTCTCTTCTTTTCTAAGACTCTCTTTTCTCTCGTCAAACTCTCTCTCCTAGTTCTCCTAGCTCCTAAAACCTCACGCCACTTTCATGGCGTCCTAGTTCCTAGTTTTGACAGCGCGCATCTGTACAGTACGATTTCGACGTGAGCAGATTCGAAGCAGCTGAGAATTGTGATACTGAAACGATTTTAGCTTGACAAGGAACCTTCGAACGCGCTCGTAGGCGGGTCCAAGTCTGGGAAGACGTTAGTAGGAACAGGCTCTCAGCAGGAAATCAGGAAACGGAAAAATCGGTGACTAAATTGCAAGTGGCAAAGTTTCTTGCGGCAATTTTTTCGTCTGAATGTTCAGACTTGCGTTAAAAAATCGTCTGAAATCTCAGACTCCTTGAATTTTTTCGTCTGATGGTCAGACGAAACTTTGGAACCCCGTCTGATTTTCAGACAGCCGTAAATCCTAGCTGAAACCCTGGGGGGGGGGCTGCCCTGACTAGAAAGGCCTCCTAAAACCTTAGCCAGAGCCCTGCTGCGGACGCGCACTGTTCGCGTATACTCGCTGTGGCGAGCCTGAGTAAGGAATCGTAATTCCTTACAAATTGAGCACTTTGCCGTTGCCCTTGCGGCATTACAAGCAAAGCAATTTCACAATACAGATATTGAGAGAGTTTTTTACACTTGTAAAAAACATCATAACTCTTTTTTGTTTTCACTTTCGTTTTTGCGCGACCGTCAGAATCACAAGACCCGCAGTTCGTCCTCGTATTGACCTCGCGTCAAATTCGAATTCACTCTCTTTGCCAAATATGTGTTTCTTTCTTACACAACCCTGATTGAAAAGCGAATTTTTGCTAGGCAACACTAATGAATCAGCGTAAATTTTCTTGAGGCTGATGGAAAGTTTTTTTTTGGAACATGACACTGAGCAATCAGGGTACCCTAAAACCAATCGTGGGGCCTGATTGGGAGGCACCTCAGGTACTTCTTGGGCTGCTGACCCACAAGTTGCTTCAGATGGTACCCCGGGTGCTGCTTCAGGGTGCTTCAGGTGCTACCTCAGGTGTCGCCCGAAACAGAATCTAGCTCAAGAAAACACCCCCTCGGATCTTATTTCCCCTCAATTCTGGGTGAATTTGCACGAACCGCAGCTGCAGATGTCCCAGGTACGTTTGATCTCAGCCGTTGACCGTCCTGATTAGCTTGAACCTGCTCTCATGTCTCATGTGAGTGCCTTGATCCATGGGTGCTCTGGTAAGGGCGACAGGGGTGAAAGGGGGGTAAATAAAGGGGAAAAAGGCCACTGTGAGGGGGGGTCGATCCAAGCCGTTGTATTGCTGGAAGCTGGTCTCAGCTGTTGATTGCCAAGATCGATGTGAAGCTGCTCTCGTGTGAGTGCCTTGATCAATGGGTGCTCTGGTAAGGGGGAGGCGGGCGGATAGGAGGCAAAAGGGCGCGGCGGTGAGGGAGGGAATCTCAGCCGTTGATTAGCTTGCAGCTGCCCTCACGTGAGTGGCTTGATCCATGGGTGCTCTAGTAAGGAGAAGCCAGGAGCATAGTGTGTATAAAAGTGAATAAGGGTAGTGTGAGGGGGGGAATCTCAGCCGTTGATTAGCTTGCAGCTGCTCTCACGCGAGCGGCTTGATCCATGGTTTCCCTGGTGAGGGGAAGGGGCGAGTGAGGGTCAATTGGGAAATGAAGACAGGAGATGGAGTGAGGGACAATAAGGGCAGGATAGGGAGAGTGAGGGGTGGGGGGGTATCAGGGCAGAAGTGGTAGGGTAAAGAGAACACTGGGAACACTGGGTGAAGATGACACAGTGAGGGGGGAGGAGAGGGAGTGTTTGAAGTCCAATGTCCAGCTCCTGCCACAGGATGCTCCCCCCTTCACCACCCCAATACTCAACTCAGTATTTCAGAGACAGTGATTCGCCGGTCATATTTCCTCGTCAGCATCCACCGAACCAGGTCCTTAGCGGCCGTGCTAACCACAGGCCATGGCTCCGTGTCAAAGTCCAGCTCCTGCCACAGGATGCTCTTGGTAGGCTCCTGGGAGCCGTGCTAACTACCCACCACCCACCACACACCACACACTACTCATGTTTCAAAGTCCAGCTCCTGCCACAGGATGCTCTTGGCAGGTCCCTTGGCAGGTCACCTCACCACCCACCACCCCCCACCCCCCCAACTTGGTGCTCGACGCCTCCCACCCCGACTCACTCAGTATTTCGGCCACGGTGATTCGCCGGTCGTATTTCCTCGTCAGCATCCTTCTAACCAGGTCCTTGGCCGCCGTGCTCACAACTGGCCATGGCTCCGTGTCGAAGTCAAGCTCCTGCCACAGGATGCTCTTGAACACGTCCTCGGTTGTATCCCCCCAAAAGGGGGGTAACCCGCAAAGTAGCACGTAAAGGATGACACCCGCGCTCCACACGTCAGCCTCTGCTCCGTAGTTCTTTGCGATCACCTCTGGGGCGATGTAGTTGGGTGTGCCGGCTCTTAGCTTGCAGCGCTCGCCTGTTGAGGGAATGGGGGGATGGGTGGGAGTAAAGGGAGAGGAGGGGGAAGGAGGGAGGGGAGGGGGGGAGGTAGGGGAGGGGTTGAGGCTGACTGTAGATTTTAGCGATAACCTCTGGGGCGATGTAGTTTGGTGTTCCAGCGCACAGCGCGTACCTTTGATCATCTTCATCCCCCTTACGAGCTCTCACCTAGCTTAAGGCAGTATTCCAAGACAACGTCGTCATGTGCGTTCATCCTCATTAAAAGCTTCCTCATCTCTCCCAATTCCCCCTCCAGTCCTCATCTGGCTTGAGGCAATACGCCATGAAAAAGTCGATCACTCTCATCCCCCTTACAATCTTCCCTGACCCTTGTCAATCGGCCCACCTGGCTTGAGGCAGTACGCCATGCCGAAGTCGATCACTTTGCACTTGGTGTCGCTGCGACGCGTGACGAGCAGGATGTTCTCGGGCTTTAAGTCGCGGTGCACAATGCCCCGGTGGTGGCAGAAATCGAGCACCTCCACCACCGAGCGGATCACCTTGGCTGCCTGTCTCTCCCCGTAGTACTTCCTCTCCAGGATTCGATCAAACAGCTCGCCGCCCTCGCATAGCTCCATGACGATGTGCACCTCCTGGTATTGGGGGGGGGGGGGGGGAGAGGAGGGGAGGATGCAAAGGACGGGCATGGGAAGTTGGAAATGAGTCAACTTGGCCGCCTGCCACTCTGTGTGGTACTTCCTCCCCAGAATGCTGATCGAATCGCTCGCCCCCTTGCCATAATTCCATGACGATGTGCACATCCAGGGAGAAGGCAAGGGGCATGGGGAGTGGGGAGAATGAGAGCGCTAGAGCACAACTGCAGAAACGAGGATAGGATCTCTTGGCCGCCTGCTTCTTTCAAAGATGCGATCAAACAGCTCACCATATATATACATACACACCTACATATATTTATAGAACGTTGAACGTCTTCTGGTTTCTTTTTTCTAAACGTTCAATAGAACGCATGCACTCACGTCTTCGTTGGTCTACTTGTGAGTACATGTGAATGCTCGTGAAAAGAGGAGTGTAGGAGTTTAGGGTCCACATTTTTTACCACACCTTTCGTTCTTCAATAGTCTCCATGATGGAGACCACATGGGGATGGGCTTTATGGCTATGGCATTCATTGCAAGACACACCTAATCATCTTCAATCGTCTCGATGATAGAGATTACGTGGGATGGGCTTTAAGAATATAGCACGTATCGCAAGACACACCTTCTCGTCTTCAATCGTCTCGATGATGGAGACCACGTGGGGATGGCCCCGGAGAGTCTCGAGCACATGCACCTCCCGCTTCACATCATCCACGTCATCCCAGCACTGCAGGGATGGGGGTGGGGGTGGGGTTGGGTAGGGGAGAGAGTTCTAGAAATGAAACATGCACCTCCCGCTTCACGTCATCCACGTCATCCCAGCACTGCAGGGATAGGGGTAGGGGTGGGGATGGGGGTGGGGGTGGGGGTAGGCCTAGGGGAGTTAATTGGAATTGAAACATGCACCTCCCGCTTCACGTCGTTCACGTCATTCCAGCACCAGAGGACGGATGTGCGTGTGTTGGGGACAGGGGGGGTGTGGATGGGATGGGGATGAATAGGTATGGGGATGGGGATGGGGTTGGGTATGGCGATGGGGTTGGGGATGGGGATGGGGATGAGGATGGGGATGGGGATGAGGATGGGGATGGGGATGGGGTTGGGGATGGGGATGGGGTGGTAGGAGAGAGATTGGAGTTGAAACAGGCACATTCCTTTTCACGTCATCTCATACCAGCACAACAAGGGGGATGAGGGAATGTTGGGATGAGTATTGAACTTGGCATATGCTTTCGTGAATGTAAACGAATGTTTCCAAATATTTGGGCACACACACGTACATGCACAATCTTACACGACAATCATTTGATCATACTTTGGGGCTATTGGCTTCAGCAACCCTTCCCAACACTTCTGGACAAGGATTCAGTGTTCAGATGTAGTATTATGCACTTCTTGTTAAGCATCACTAGTTCATCCGTGACTCTTCAAGTTGCCTTCACAGCACGATGTGTTACCTTACCTCACACTGTGCACGCTTTCCACCCCCCATCAGCACCTCATTCCCCCAACCCCCCTCGCCTCGACAAGCCCTCGAGATCCCGTTTTCCCCCGCTCTTCCCCCGACAAGCCAGATCCCCCTCCCCCTCCCGTCCCCGTAAACGCTTTCCCCTCCAGCGGCGCCCATATCCCCCGACGAACCCCCCTCCCCTAACCACTCACCCATCCTCCCCCCCTCACCCACCTTGTCGCGCTTGCAGCCCACCCTTTCCCCGCACACTCGCCTTTGTCCCCAAGGTTTCACCCGCCCCCGTTCGCACATGAGGAAACCGAGTTACCACCGCCACCACATCCTCGTTACAACGTACCTCGAGCTTAGCCTTGGTAATCGTCTTGCACGCGTATCGCTCTCCGGTCTCCAGATTCTCGCACATGTGAATCACACCGAAGTTACCCCGCCCGAGTTCCTTCGCCGACAGCTTGTATTTATCCCCGAGATCCTGATAAGGTTTCCCCAAAACATTTGAATTCGACGGACCAACCACTTCGGGAGTTTCTTCCACCTCGATATCCCCGTCCTCTCTATAATACTCGCTCACTTGCGGTGTTCTTAGCGGGACGCCCGAAACTATTCTCGAAGCACCCTTTCGCGGAGACTGCACGGGAGTTCCCGCATTCCAGTTGCTAAACATGCTCTGAATCTCCGCCAGTTTTGCTTGATCCCGGTCGTTTTGCGCCGCAACCGTCCGGGGACTTGCGCAAAGCGAACCCCCCGGCGTCATCGACTTCCGAGAGCCTCCCCCTCCGCCTGGCATGTACGGGGACGCGAAACCCCCCGCGCCCGGTGGATTTCTGGGACTCGCATACGGGCTGCCGTACGGGCTCGTGCTCGGAAGATTAACTTTCAGGCCACCTTTAAGACTAACCACACCACCTGTACTCATCACCATACCGCCTTTCGCTCCGTACCCTCCTCCTCCTCCCCCGCCGCCGCCGCCGCCGCCGGCTCCGCCTCCCAATCGCGACATGCTTCCGCGGGGCCCGGAAAGCAGCTGCGAGTTCGCGCCGCCGCTGCCGCCACCGCCGCCAGGGCCAAGTGGCGACACTCCCGGTCCGACACGCGGATCAGGAATCACGTTCGGAACAACCGGAACGCTAGACGATCGGCGATGGCCTTTACCCTTTGCGGGCGGTCCGGACGAAGCTGCTGCGCCGCTCGCGGCACCGCCGCCGAACCAGGACGTGAGGCCGCCGCCGCCACCGCTGCCGCTGCTGCTGCCCGCCGTTTGTTGCGGAGAAATGCCACTGCTAGACGCGGTCGTGTGCGTCGCGCTGCTTCCGCCGTGACCGGCGCCGCCGAACCAGGAGAGCATCCCCCCGGTGGTAGACGGCGTAGTCACGGGAGACAATTGCGGGGAAGCTTGCAACGAGTTCGCCTGGGCTCCACCCGCTCCTGAGCCTTTGCCGAACCAAGTTGTCTTGGGGCTCAAGCCTCCGGCTGCTAGAGCTTGGTTCGGCGAGACCTGGTGCGGGCTGTCGTAGGAATTATCCGAACCGGCTGCCGAGCCTGTGGGCGTCATGGCGGTTCCGGCGCCGAACCAGGAGAGAATAGGGCTTGTCGAGCCGCCCGCAGGCGGCGTTTTTGCGTTCGGCTGGGGAATGCTGAGAGGCGCAGGGGACTTAGAGGCTGCGGTATTTAAAGCTTGTAGCTGCTGGCTGTTAGTCTGCTTCTGGCGTCTCGACCATAACCCTCCCCACCCGCCGCTGCTGCCTTGACCGTCCGATTCCGCCGCTCCCTTCTCTCCTCCCGTCGATGTCGAGCTGGAGTTTTTATCGTCGCCCTCCGTGGCGTGGTTCCTCCCCTCGCTCTCTCTTTGATACTCCTCCTCTAGCGACATAGATGGCGCTCCGGTTCCTTCTCGCGACGCGGACTCGCATCTCGAATCGCTCTCAACCAACGCAGCGCTGTAGTCCACGTCAGCCCAGTCTCCTGGCGATCCGGACGGAGCGCCGCCATGTGACGCCCTCTCCTGTGCCTTCTGCGGCCGTGCTGACGTGGCTCTACCAGCTTCAAGGCCCGAATTGTGGTGGTCCTGACCCGTCGGCCCCGACCATTCCTGCGAACCCTGTAACGGCGACGCCTGTCGCAGACGACTGCTGGGGTTTCGCTGACTGTCTTGCGAGTTTCGCGAAGACGCTCCGGCGGGAGACCGCACGGGGGATCCAGAGGGCCCATTTGACGGGCTGCCCGAAGAAAAGGTCGAAAATGAGAAATCTTCAGATCGAATGCGGCGATGGCGCGGGCCGTTAGGTTTAGGCGGCCGGCTGACCTCGAGCGGCCTCACCTGCGACATGCCGCCGCCGGCGCCGGCAACTCTACCGGTCGGGAGCGGCGACTTGGACCGTCGCCTTTCAGAGCCGGGAATACCTCCGTGACTTGCGGAGGCGGAAGGCGCAGGGGAACGATATGCCCCTGGCATTTGTTGCTGCTGTTGCTGTTGCGGTTGACCGTGGCTTTGGCTGTAATATTGTTCTTGGTCCTGATATTGCTGCTGCTGCTGCTGCTGCTGACGTGGCATGTGATGAGCTGCATTTTGCATTTTCGACGTAGCCTCGTCGTCTCTCGAGCCGCTATGAGACCTATAATCTTCCCGCCCATTCTCGAACGATGACGACGATGACCGTTGCTCCTTCTGCTGCGCGCTGCTGCTGAGGCCGTGACTGTCGCCGTGATTGTAACGAGAGGCTGACGACTGCGAGTCACTTTCGTGCGACGAGGTCTCCTCCTCAATGCTCCAAAACTCCATTCCTCCCCCGCCGCTCCCGCAGCCCCCGCTCCCGCCGCCGCCGCTACCCTTCGGCACAGTCCCATTTGGGATTATCACGATTGACGGGTCCAGCTGAAACCCGTCCGAGTGGCTTCGCCTGTGTCCTGGCTTTAACCGCGACGGCCGCGGCGGGACTGACGACGCGCTCGCCATGGAGGCAGCGCCGCCGCCGGAGGAGTGATTCGCGGCCGATAGGGGACGATAATGGGACGACGGGGGAAGATCGTGCGCCGGCGCGGAATGAGACGCGGAATGTGTCGAGGAGGACGGCGCGTAGTTGAAGGGCGTTTGCGGCCGATGGCTCGGACACTGCGAGCGCGCCTGGGGGTGGTGTTGCTGAGTGGTGCTGCTAGGGTTGAAGCTGGGAGGCTGGAAATGCGACCTGGAATCCTCAACAAGAAGTTCCATGGAGGGAGGGAATGCAGCGGGGGAGCATACGGATAGGGGGGGGGGACTTGGCGTTGGAGAAATACGATACTGATGTGGCAATGTACGTTCATCAAATTGTTTCTTCTGGGAGGGGAAGGGTGGGGGGAGGGGTGTTGGTCTTGGGTCGAATTCCTGGGGCGTTTTTAGCGGCGGTGGCAAGCGAATGGTGGTTGTTGAACAAGTGGGCCGCTGGTGGGAGAAGTAGTTGTGGGAGCGAGTCCGAGTGTGGGTTGTGAAAAGATGCCCTATTTTGGCTGGGTGGGGTGTTGATAAATGCGAGCTGCTTGCCGGGCCAGGCGGCATCCGTCCGAACCGGTCAACCGAACCAGACGTTTCCAGGATGCTGTCACGACTTGATGCTGGCTGGACCAGCTCAATCAACAGCTTCACCAAACCCTAAGCTGGCCGTTTGGTTACGAACCACGTATGCGTCTTGGTTTGGCGACGAGGCTTATGCAAAGGTTCGGCGTAGCACACAACAAAACGCGCTTTCAGGCCAGAGGAGGCCTGTGGAGATTTTGATTCCCATACGATCCGAAACAGATCACATCGTCCTGGTTGAGGAACCCTGCAGCTGGAACGTACAAAGCCACTTTGCAGCCACGTAAAGGCAATAATGAACATCGCTTAGCCAAGAGCCACCATAATCACAACCAACCAAGCGGCTAAGTGGTGCTGACTGTCTTTTTCCCAGGTGCGAACTCCATGAAATCCAAACCCGTTCTCCCAAAGCCAACCTGTTCCCTGTGGGCAAACCTCCCCGCTGTTTCGTCTCGTACTGTTTCAACCCATCGCTGGGGTTCCACAATTTGGAAATGGGTGTGGTTGGGTGAGGCGGATCCAAACATAAGGGGAATCGCGTACGAGGCGCGATTATAAAATGTTATGAATTAAAACTCATAATAGCGCAGTATTCAATAAGGGGAAGGTGATTACAATGTGACGATACAAATGAGGCCTAGGGAATATATAGGGCGATTGACCAGGTTTAAATGTTGAGGGCTGGACCTGTCAAGGGCTCGATAGTCCTGAGGGTGACGGGGTCAAAATGGGTTCGGGGCGACTGGGGATGAGGTTGGGGGCCGACGAGGTCGGCGGGGACTGGTTTGGCGCGTGACTTGAGGGCCGAGCCTGCGGGCGCGAACTGTTCGCGTGTACTCGCTGTGGCAAGCCCCAGTAAGGAATCATAATTTCTTACACTCTTCCACCTTCTAAAAGAAGGTACTCCCTTTATCTAGGCCGAACGGGTACCGGCGAAAACTTCTCTGAAAACTATAAACGGGATGTGAAAATACTAGGATCTAGGAAGCCATGAAATGGCGTGAGGGTTTAAAATAGTCAAAGTTACAAGAGAACAGAGGTCGAGAATAGAAGAGAGAGGGATACAAGGAGAGGTGTTGTACCCTTTACAGTAAATTTCAGTAACGCCTACCAAGCCTACAATTATATAACATATATAATTTAACACAGGCAGTCTGGCTGTTGATGATGGCGCGTGGCTGGATGAATATCTTGAAATGAGGACTGCCGAATGACATGGATTGTCGGATGACGAGAAACTGTTCATCAACACGCTAGGTCGCTGTGATGTTAGAAGCGGATTAGGCTACGGTAGGCATGCGAATGGTGAGAGGTTTTATGTTATGATATAGAAAATGTCAATGAACAATGTCGTGAGAATACAAGGTCGCTATTGCAATGAAGGCACAAGGTTATATAGGGTTGCCAGGGCGATAACCTCAGAACATGGGTAGGTTTGGCAATGTGGCGACTGTGCATTACGCGACTCGGGAAAGGGTTGGTCCGACAAATGAGGCCGAATGTGACGAGTCGAGGAGTTCACGTGTACGCGCTAGTATACGACTCTGTAAGGAATGGAAATTCCTTACACTACCCCCCCTCCTAAACAAGGCCACGGGCATCGGAAACATTCCGAAGCTGATAATACGCTGTTAGAATCGGGTGTGATTCTAGATCAGCGAGCGGCACCCAGTTTCATCCTCAGACCGCCGATCGCGCCAGAGGATGAGAAAATCCACCATCCGACGGTTCTGCTGCGTTGTGACTCGATGGCCGAGGATATTCAGAGGCTCGGTTGTCGGTTCTTGCAGGGGCGTCAGTTGCGGGGCGATGCGTTTACGGGCTAAAGTCGAGGAACTTAAGACGTAGGGTCACAGGAGGCTGACGTGAAAAGCCGGGTGGTGACGCCAATCAGCCGGGAGTCGAAGATGAGCTGTGACAAGTGTCATCATATCGGTCACTTGAACGGGACCACAGAAGCGGGGGCGGAGTTTGCTTGGAATCGGCAGGCGCAAGTTGCGAGTGTCAAGTACTACGAGGTCCCCTACTTTGTAGATGACGTCACGTCGGTGGCGATCGGCTTGTCGGCTTGCGAACAGGTTGGCTTTGCGGATTGCCTCAACTGTTTTTTCTAGGGCTTCTAGGATATCTTCGGCAAATCGCTGGGACCAGGGCACGGGTGTCTCGATATTGGGTGTAGAGGGTACCACGGGGTCCTATCCGTAATTTAGGGGAAATGGGGATTGATAGGTTGTTGCGGAAGGCAAGTTTTTATACGCAAATTCCAATAGCGGAAGGGATTTCTCCCATGCCTGTGGGTCGGTACAGGTAGTCCGAATGAGTTGCTCCATAGTTTGGTTGACTCGCTCGGTCTGCCCGTCGGTCGGTGGGTGGTAGGCGGAGGAAAACTGTAGTTTGGTACCAAATCAGTCCCACAGGTGGCGCCAGAAATTTGATGTGAATTTTGGGTCTCGGTCTAAAATACTGTAATGGCGGTCGGCAGTCCATGCAGTCTGATGACGTTGACGTTGGGCAGTTTGCTAAGCGGTAATTTTCTGTTGACAAGCGATGAAGTGCGCCATTTTCGTAAGCTGGTCAACGACCACGAGGATGGCGCGTTTCTGCTGGGACCGGCCGGCAGTCATATCACGAAGTCTATCGTGACGTGTTGCCAGGGTCTCTCGGGCGGATCCAACGGCTGTAGGAGCCTGGCTGCTCGCTGATGGGAGGATTTCATGATCTGGCAGGCGGTGCAGGAGGACGCGTACTTGCGCACGTCGTCGGCCATGTTCGGCCAATAATAGTTGCGCTGCAACGTCTTCATAGTTTTGTCGACTCCGAAATGCCCGGAGGTAGGGTTGTCGTGGGATTCCTGTATTAGCAGGGTACGAAGTAAATCGTAGCCGGGCACCCAGATGCGAGAAGTATCGCGCTTATTAAAATAGTGTCCGGTGGCGGTGGTATACTGTTGATGGATTGCAGAGCGGAAGAAAGGGTCGATTTTGTAGCCGTGGGTAAATAGTCCCGTAAGTAATGGGTTGGTCTGGGCGACTAGTATGGCAGCGGTATGGGCAGTTGGTTGAGTCAGGGCATCGGCAATATTGTTGGCGCCCCGTTTGTAGGTGATGGTGTAGTGGAAATTCGACTCGAGGAAATCCAGACATCGGTTGTAGATCAATATATCGTCGAGATAGATGATGATGCACTTGTCCAAGAGTTCCACGCGTTCATGGTCATCTGGAAGGTCGAGGGCGCGTTCGTGAGGCCAAAAGGCATCACCTGGTACTCGTAGCTACCGTATCGGGTTCGGAATGCCGACTTGTGACAATCTTCGGCGGCGACGCGGATTTGGTGGTAACCTCCACGCAAATCGATTTTCGAGAAAAACCTTGATCCGCGAAGTTGGTCGAGGAGTTCGCCAGCTCGCGGGATCGGGTAACGCGACTTGATGGTGATCTGGTTGAGCGCTCGGTAGTCAATACACATTCGGAATTCTCCATCCTTCTTCGGAGTGAAAACGATCGGGGCAGCGTATGGTGACATACTAGGTCAGATACAACCTTTCTCTATAAGATAATCGAGTTGCTGCTGTAATTCTTCCAGTTCCGGTTGGCTGAGCCGAAATTGGCACTGTACAATTGGTTGGGAGCCTGGTTCCAGCTCGATTCGATGGTCCTCAGGTCGGCTTGGCGGGAGTCCCGCTAGCAGACGGCCTTGCACAGCTTCTCAATATCTTCGTTCTCGACTGTCGATGCCAACTCGCGAAGATCAACGGCGTATGCTTCGGCTCCAGGCCGCAACACCTTCTTGAAGGTGATTGCATGGACTTGGGTTGTTCACATGCGAGCCCCCGTCCTCTTGGGCAGCTCGCGAGAAATCCCATCAAGCTTGATGCTGCAACCGCCCGTCGTCCAGTCGATCTTCGGGTTGTACCTTCACAACCAATCTAGTCCCTACGGCACGTCGCACCCGTCAAGAGTCATCGCCAACAGCCCCATCCCAAAATTTACATGCTCCCTACAGGTAAAACTAACGTTCTCCACCCGCTCCCGTATTGCCAGCGGTGTGCCATCAACCAGTCGGGCGTCGATCTCAGGTAAACACCTTAATAAGGGTATACCCATTTTGTTAGCCCTGTCCAGCTGCACGAGACTGTAACTCGCGCCTCCATTAACGAAAACTCTCCCCCCACCATCCTGCCCCGTCTGGTGTGTCTCACATCACTCCCCTCCCATCGGTTGTCCCGCTCGAGGAGTCTTCTGACTATGGTGGCCCCGCGGCTCCGCTCTTGCCGCCGGTCTCCACCCCAGTGTCTCCTCCTCCACTGTCGCCACAGCAGCAGCCGCCGTAGGGGTCCACGGGTCCTGGGGGTGGCACCGGTGCTGGAGAGGGTTCCCGTTCTCGGGGTGCTGGCGTGGAGCTTCTCGGTGGTAGCCGTGGTGCAGCTGAAGGTTCTGGAGTCGGCGTGGAGCCGCAGCCGCAGCAGTCGCCGTCGCTGTCGGCCATTCGCCTCCTCGGTCTACCTTCCCCCGACCCCCCGCCTGCGCCTCTTTCGCCGCCGCCTCCCCTCCCTATCTACGGCCCTGTGTTTCCTCGCCGGACTCGTCTCCAGCTCGTTTTCCCCCTCGTTCCCCTACGGTGTCTCCTCTTCTGTCTCCTGACCCGATGCCTCCTTCTCGCGTCTGGTCTCATCGTCCCTCTCGTGCTCGTCCTGTCTCTCCTGTTCCCCGCTCTCACCCTATGTTGCTTCGTTTTCACGCGTCTCGTCCTCCCCTCCTCCTGTCTCCTCCTCGGTCGTCGCTTCTTGTCGTGCCGCCTCCTTTCTCTGACTTCCTTCGTGCTGCTAGTCCTCTTGTTCCTTGGGTCCTTGCCTCCCTCAAAACCGACCAGTCTGTTCCTGTCTCCAGTCTTGACGCTTGTTGCTGCCGTCGCTAACTTTGCCTCTACCCGCCGCCTTGACTACACCACCGCTCTGGTCTCTGACCCTGCCTGTACTCTGTCTATCGGGAATG